TTTTTTTTTTTTAATATTTACTTTATCATAAATTATTTTCCTTTTGCAATATAGGACATGGATGACGCTTTCTTGCAATTTAAGGCGCACAATGAAAGCAAAAATATTTTTAAAGCAGCGCGGACGCCAGCAGTGTTTTTCGCAATTGCCGTTACTATGTACATTTTATCCGGAATATTTGGTCTTGTTGGTCTGTACACAATAGCGAATGTATGTAATCTTATTATGGGTGTTGGTCTTCTCACACTTGTCTTATGGGCATATATAAGGTATTAAAATGTTGCATTTGTTACAATTTCCTATTATCCTACAGTACAATCAGAATTTCTGAATATCATATTTGTTTGGATATTATTTAGGTATAGTGGAGAGTTCAGAGAAATTGGAACACAAATAGATGACTTAGCCAGTAAGATATGGGAAAATGTAAGTACAAGCATCTTCTTAAAAAGTAAAATTCTTTATTTTCTCTGTGTACCCGCTTTGAATTTTATCATATGGATATAACACCTTTCTGATAAAGATTATATGTTCACAGTGTACTAATGAAAAACGATATTTGAGAAAGGTAGAGATTTTTTACTCATTTATTAGTTTATTAAACGTCTAATGTACTCGTTTTTTAATGTACTTGGTTATAAAATATTAATCATAAAAGATGTTAAAATTAGTAGCATAAAATGTTCCTAAAATATTGAAATGTTCACTAAAATCACACATAAAATTTATATCTGTTTTTATATGTTACATACAAGCAGCACTTGTCATAATATATTTTGCATATTAATATAGTTTGTATAATGATTAATATTTAACATTTTTTTATTGCAACAGGTCTGGCTATGCGCTCATCTTTGTTATAAATTAATTTATACATTAAGATACCTAATCCTGTCCATTATCGTAATTGTATTTGCAATACCTATATGTCATTTTACTTATCGTGATCTTCGCAGACATGGCTACATCTGATCACACGCTTTTTTTCTTTTCTAATTTTAGTCTTTAATTATCTTTAATTCCAAATTGCTTCTTTCTTCAAGTCTTCTATGTTCCTTACACATCTATGTTTTGCACATTTTTTTCTTACTAACCAAAACCGTTTTATAAAAGCATAACCTTTAATATTACTATTTTTTATTGTCTTTTTTTTATTCCTGTCATAAGCTGAGTGCTAACAGGAGCAAATATCTCGAAAAGGTATGACATTCGGCTACATAAGTATATATAATCAAATTTTGAACTCTATTAATCTGATTACATATTTTTCTCTTTCCAAACATTACATCCATAACACTGCTTAATCAAAAAATCTATTTCTTCCTTATAACTATTAATATTTCTTCGATATTAATATATTAAGTTTCATAAAATAAACGCTGCTCGTAACTAAAAAACAACAAAAAAAATCTCGAAATTTTTGGAAATAACACAATTATGTAGTTTCACATATTATAATTGTCATAAAATAGTGCAGTTTTGATGGAAAGAATGATTTTTACTTTTGTTCAGTTCATGAAGCCACTCTACCAACAATTTGTGGAGAAGTCCGTGTCTGTAGCAGTGGCGCAGGCTGCTGAAATAGCGGTAACGAATTCAACAATGAACGCCACTGTCACTGCCAATGGCAAGCCTAAATTATTGTAACATTCATTCCCGTAATATCCTAATCATTTAAACGAATCGAAATATCGCATCCTTATGTTAAGTGGCATAATCAAATTTTACAAAAAATATCGTAATGTTTTGACATACCGCCATGAATAGTTTTTTCTCTGTTTAAAACTGGATTAAACATTATGGCTTGGAAGCACTAATTTGAAAATGACTGTGAATGTATATACGATGTATTCTAATTATAAAACAGCGTTAGATTGATGGAAATCGTGTGATTACTAGTATTGCCTAGTATATCCTTGATATGGATGTTGTAAAAATAAAATCTTGTACTGGTGAAAAATATTATTATTGTAGCTTGACCTGAAAGTTTTATCATGGGGATGTTAATATATTTAAAGTTATTGCAAATTATCAAAAGGTAGAAAAGTGCATTTGTAAAAAAATATTAAGAAATAGGAAAAAATAAGTCCCTATGTAACAATTTTTTCGTTTCCATTAAGTATATGAAATTTTCCTGTTGAAGTAATCCATTACATTTAAAATGCATTTTGCAGTTAATTTTTATTTTAATAAGAAGGATTTGTTTTGCATTATGTCTTTGTTATTTTATGTGTTATTTATATGCTTGGACTAACGAAGTTCAGATTTCATTCGTGCCAGAAATGCGTAACATGAGTTGTACTGGACTACTGTTTAATAAAAGGATGTACATATTGCACGCGATGTTATTCACATATTCTACATAGTTCGAAAAAAAAAGTGATAAAAATACTTAGAATTTATTTAACTACGATATAGATATTCATACGCCATATTGCTGTAGTATATGACTTTATTAAATGCAATATCTCGAAGTTGCCCGATTACATTAATCTACTTAAGAGTAATATAAGTCTTATTACCAACACGCTGTTAATAGTAATTAAATTTGTGTAGATATGCTGAACTCCATTTTCTATATTGCTCATTGAATAAAAGTGATTAATATTATTACTTAATTCATCAATAAAACTGATTAATTATTATTATTATTATTAAATTTATCAGATTTATAATGTTATCTAAAAACAATTAGCAAATATAAAAAACATTAGCTTTTTTATTTCCACTGAATTTTGTTCAATGAGTAATTTTGATAATTTGACGTATGCGTGTATTAAAACTCTACCAAGTCTTGCCAAGTGAATTGCTAATATACTTCGATCTATAATATAGTTGATAGGGTATAAATTTATTTTTATTTATACATATGCATGGAATTCTAATTTTTAAACACGAAATTTATTAATGAATTATAAAACTGGACTTGTAAAATTTTATAAAGATAATTATTGCAAATTTATTAATAAATGTATACGTTATTTTAAAAAATATATAATTTATACTTTTTCTAATATAGTAAAAATTATAAATATACTTGGTGGTGGTTTTAATAACACTATAATTTATTTATATGTGGTTTATATTTTGAAATATTTACTTCATGAAGACGTATGTAAAAAAATAATCTCACGTTTGCACACCAAAATATAATTGCTATTTTATAACACGTTAGATTCAAAATTTAAACCGCTTTATTATTCTTTATAATGATGTCTTCAATTTCTTAATAAATATTAGAGGCAGCTTTAAAAATAATACTGATTGATATATTTGTTTTACTAGTTGAGATACAACGATACAAGTGAATAAACAGTTTTGTATTATTAATGGAGCCATATTCGTTATCTCATTGTATTTTATGCAGAATGGGTGTATGTAGGATAATAGAAAATAATTTAGCGGAAACGCATGGTTATGGAGGTGCCATTAAGATATAATTTTGAATTTACAAGAGATCTTATGTCCCGTGCTAAATTTTATTTATTAATTTTATAGAATTTCTCAAATTTCATTTTTAATAGATATATAAGTAAATGAGTTTAGTGTACATGAATACATATCAACTCAAGTTTGTGATCAAATTCAACAGTTGCACTTAATATTTAGACCATTATTCTTTATCATGATATCATATTTCAAACTTGAGATAATATGTAACAACAATTATTATTAAATCACAATTTTTCCACATCAAAATGAAATTGTATTATGTAATTTTATAAAATTATTAGGAACTGACAAATATATGAAGGTTAATCAAATAGATTGTCCAAATCATTTCTGATATGGATATTTGTATGAAAGAAGAACTTGTAATATCCTATTTTACACAGTTATAATGTAATTAAAAATATATAAACATGACACTATAATAATTTGTAGTCGTAGCTATTGACAAAGTTACGTCGAAAATTTTGTATTATAAAAAACGTGTGTAGAAATGCATTATGTATATTTACTGCACGTATATAATTCTATCTTTCAATCCATTTTATACTAATAAATATTGTAATAAAAAAGATAATGATTGTAACAAATTAAATATATATATATA